GAGCTGGGTGACGGACAGCTCTACTGGTGTCACTCTGTTAGTTTAAAGCTTTTATGTATGAACCAGACTCACTCAGACGTTGATTTATTATTTCAGTCAGTCAACAAATGCTTAGTAAAGTATGTACTACCTATAAAACACCATTCTAGATGCTAGGGAGAGGGGTACAAACATGGGTCCAGTCAGGGCCTGCCCCTCAGGGGCACTGAAGTATACTTTGCGGGGAGAAAGTGGTACCAGAGAATGCCTGGAGGACTAGCGAGGTTTATCAGAGTAGCTTACAGTTGAGCTCGGTGCTCAGTTACATAAGTGGTCTTAGGGGAAGGTCAAAGGAAGCAAAAGGACAGCAGCCCACAGAAGGGAAGCAGAGTGGCAGGACCAGTTGGGACAGTGGAGAAGGTGCCTGTCTGATGGGTAGAGTCTCAGTATGGGTGTCTTCAGAGCGTGATGGAGGGGTTGTGGGCAATGGTAGCTAACGTCTGTAAAGATATCCCGTCTGAGTCAGGCGTGTATGTTATAGTCATGCCCTCAGACTGGGGGGAGGATGGAGGTAGAACGTGTCCCTTGACATGAAAGTTCTATAAAGAACATAGTATCTGAAGATGTGTTCCTAGGATCAGCATACGTCAGGGGCTCATATACTGATATCTCCTTGGCATTCTTTGTAATTGTTCAAACCTTGGAGTTAGCTCAGCTTAGAGTAGTGTGACATGCCAGTGTTTGGTGGCTGGGGGTGGCTGGGGGCCGTACTAAACAAAGTTATCTAATACTTATGTGAGGTAGGAATTAATAAAATATTCTCCTCATTTTTTTAGTGACAACACTAAGGCTCAAAGTTCGGTGAACATTTTGAATAAGGACGGAGCCAGGTTTTAAATCTAGAACTTTCTGGCTCTAGAACATGTGCTCTTTCCAGTCCTAACTCAGGATATAGGCTTTAAAGTGAGTAGAAAAGGACCTGTGAGGAGGGTCACAGGGAGCCAGAGATAAAGGAAGGATTCTTGAGCTGCAGAAAATCATGACCTTTTTGTGATACCAACTTCCATGTTTTTAGGACTTTTTTCTAGTGGTACAAAACCTGAACAGGAGTAGAAAAATAATGTGGCCTTCCCATGACTGGCATGGCAGATACAACACAAGGCCAAGGAAATTAGTCTAATAGTGTGTGGTGTCAGGGAGGCAAACAGTTTGGGATAAGGCTGGAGGCACATGTTTGTAATAGAGGTTTGAAGGAATGGGGTGAGAGTATGTCGAGTGTGACCCACCTGGCCTAAAACGCCCATGTGGAATGTTGAGGTCTTTGGCTTATGCAGCTCACCCTCTAAGAGTTAGACCTGCTTTTGAAATGACGTCGGATGGCACTCATTTATTTATTGAGCATCTACTCTAAGCCAGTCCGTTTTAAGTCCCAAGGTTTACAGTGGTGAGCAGAACAAACTAGACCCAGCCCTCATAGCTTTGCAGTCTGGTGCAGCGAGGCAGACATTAAGCCAGTAATTACACAAATAACATTTAGCTCCAATTGTCATGAAATCTCTAAAAGAAAAAACAATGGCACTGTATAATGGGAGGAGCTAGTACAAGACTGGGAGATCAGGTAAGGCCACCTGTGCCTGTCATTTTTACAGAGAGCTGAAGGACTGAGCAAGAGTTAGCCAGGTAAAGGTTGGATGGGAGGCAAGAAGGGCTGTTCAGATGGCAGAAATAGCGTGAGGAAACTCCCTGAGGCAGAAAGGAGCTTGGTGTTTGAGGAACAGAAAGAAGCTGTGTGGCCGAAACACTGAACCAGGAGACAGAGCCAGTAAGTAGGTAGGAACTAGGCCGTGCGTGGCTTTGTGGCACATGTTTAGGCTTTTGAACGTTATTCTTAGGGGAGTTGGAAGCCATGGAAGGATTTTAAATAGGAAGTGACATGAACATATTTGTGTTTTTAAAAAGACCATCTGGCTGCTGTGGGAAATGAGTTGTGTGTTAGAGAGTGTGGTGGTAGGCAGAATAATTAATGGCCACCCAAAGCTGTCCATCTCCTAATCCCCAGAAGCGATGAATATGTTAAGTTATAAAGCGAAGGGGAATTAAAATTGCTTATCAGCTGACCTTAAGATAGGGTGATTAGTTTGCATCATCCAAGTGGGCCCAATGTAATCACGAGGGTCCTTAAAAGTGGAAGATGGAGACAGAAGTGCGTCAGAGGGAGATATGATGATGAAAGAATAGTCAAAGAGATGCAATGTTGCTGGCTTTGGAGATGAAATAAGGGGGCCACAAAGCAAGGCATGTGGGCAGCTTCTAGAAGCTGGAAAGCCAAGGAAATAGATTCCATACAATCCCCAGAAAGGAATCAAGTCCACCTTGATTTTAGCTTAGTGGGTCCCATGTCAGACTTCTACAGAACTGTACGATAATAAATTTGTGTTAAGTTTGTGGTAATTTGTTCCAGCAGCCATTGAAAACTAACAGAGGGGCATAAGAAAGGCTGTTGGAAAACCACTTTAAAAAGCTATAGTGTAGCCCAGGGTGGAGAGGAGGGTGACTTGGACTAAGTGGGGGGTAGTGGAGAGAGAAGTGGATCAATTCAAGCTGCAGTTTGAATGATGAATGCTAGGTTTGTGGCCACACAGCCCAGAAGGAAATGTTTTCACTGAGATGTGGAGATTGGAAAAGGGGTGAAATGGTGGAGATCAAGAGTTTGGGGGTCTATTAATAGGTTTAATGTGCCTATGAGGTATTCAAGTATCTATTAGTCAAAGAGGCAGTTGGATAGGTGAGTCTGGAGCTCAGAGGAGAAGGCTGGGCTGGAAATTGCAATTGGGGCCTCAGCCTGTATAGATGGCTTTTAAGACCATGAGAGTAGGTGAGATACCTAGGACAGTGTTCCTCAAACTTTCAGCACCCGTTCAGACCACCAATTTTAAACAATAAAGCAATATTTTTAAAAATAATGTTTGTATTATTGAATAGGATGATATTTTTTGCAGCCTTTTGGAAAATATGTAACCAACTTGATGATAGATAGTTTGAGATATAGGTTAGACCCAGCACTGTGAGTTTTTTACCCTATGTTTCTACTACATTAGGAAACCCCATACCGTAATTAGAGATTGTCAAGATTTACACCTGGTATTTGCTGGCTGTCAGATCTTATGGAATATCAAGATCAAATACAGACTGAGAAGTTAGGGGAAGATTTCTCCCTGACGACTATTCCTAGAGCTCTTATTAGTTGCCAAATTGACACACTTATAACATTAAGTAACTGTGGGGATGAATGTTTCAGACAACCTGAGTGTTTGGAAGAAAGGACAAAATGGATTCTTAGTCACTCTGATTACTTCTGTCTCTGGAAAGTACCTGATCATGTTTTGTTGTAACATGCAGATGTGTTCTTGGTATATCCGCAATAATAAAATAAGTCTCATTCTCTGATCAGTAAAAAAACCCATCAGATTCTGGGAAGGAATCACACTGTAGCAGTTGAGCCACTTGCACCATAGTTTGGTGACTTTGAAAAATCTGGTATCTTATAATCAACATTAAAAATTGGGATATTTTTGACCTTGAAGTAGTAGGTTCTGGTTATTTCAGGTGCTGAATATATTTCAGCCATACACTTAAGCAGGCCTCTGGAAATCAAGAACGACTTTACTGGTGTTATTAGTGTCATGAAGAAATGTTTTTATCTCATCCTTCCTTTCAGAAACTTTGTCAGCACTTTTTCCCTTGACAGCCAGTCAACTTGAGTGGGAAGAGTAATCTTGCAAACTCTGCCATTTTCCCCCACAACATCTGAGAGCACATGCTCTGAGTAATCAAGATTTGCTGATATTCAATTTTCATTATTTCCTTCAACATTCAATTATAATTAGGAGGCGTATTGTTGACTTATAACTGTTCTATGTTTATAACATCTTGTAGTAATACAGCAACACCTTTTCTTGCTATTTGTATAGCTTGTGCTCTGTTTTGAATATGTTGCACCTTTTTTTAGCTCATAGGAGTATTACTGTCTAAATGAAACATGAAAACTACCATGGGCTTTCATGGATAAGCAAAATAAAACATTGTTGAGTACCTCATAACATACCATACGAAGTATGATAAAAAAATATGGTGAATGCTTAAATAAAAAAATTTATTACAGTAAAAGATGCATTGCCATTTATCCCCCTCAAAATACTCCCCCTCGCTTTAAACACACTTATCCCATCATTCTTACCACTTTCTGAAGCAGTTCTGGAAGTCTTCTTTCTTGAGTGTCTTTAGTTGTGCTGTCATGGCTGCCTCAATGTCCTGAATCATTTTGACTTTGGGGAAGAGCCAGAAGTCACACGGTGCCAGGTCCAGTGAATAAGGTGGATGAGGACTCACCATAATGTTTTTATTTGACAGAAATTGCTGTACCTGAAGCGATGTGTGACATGGAGCCTTTCCATTGTGATCAAACAATATGGTGAATTCTGTTGCCGAGTGCCATCCAATGGAAAGGCAGGGATCTTCAATACAGGAAGCAGCACGTCAGACCTTAGTAACAGTGTGTGACAAGTTTCAACGTGTTCGGTCAGTCAGTTGGATGTGAGCTATGGTTGAGAGAAGGTGTGTTTTAAAGTGTGCCGTAAATCATCCTCCATCATGACAACGCTCCATGTCACACATCGCTTCTAGTATACAGCAATTTCTGTCAAATATAAACATTATGGTGTGTTCTTATCCATCTTATTAACTGGATCTGGCACCATGCAACCTCTGGTTCTGTCTCAAAGTCAAAATGATTCAGGACCTTGAGGCAGCCATGACAGTGCAACTAAAGACACTCATGAAAGAGGACTTGCAGAACTGCTTCAGAAAGTGGCAAGAATGATGGGATACGTGTGCTTGAAGCGAGGGGGAGTATTTGAGGGGTGACTAATGGCAATGTGTCTTTTACTGTAATAATTTTTTTTATTTAAGCTTTCACTGCGTTGTTTGATCACACCTCATATATACTAGAAGAATTGATTTGTATTTTCTTCACAAGTAGTTAGTTTAATTTTAAAACAAAATATATGCTGAAACATTCATGTGATAATAATTGTTCTTCCATATCATGTGCCATTGTTATTATGTGACTTCCAACAGAGTCATTTAATAAAGAAATTTTGTCATTAGCTTGTGTTTTCTCACAGTTAAATCGGGCATTGAGTTTGGATTGATGAGCTCCTCAGCAGTATCAGGACCTCGCCCATTTCAGCTGAGGAATGCCTCGGTAGCCTGGTCTCATCTCTGTCCTTACCAACAAAGCAGATTGACTGGGCTTTGTTTGAAACTGATGTGAAAGTTTATTTGGCTTTACAACACTGTATTTGTTGAATACTAGCTGACATGAACTGATCAAAACAGACTGGATATAATGAGATAGTATAGTGAGTTGGTAACTTTAAGGAAAATAAAGGGGTTTTCATGAAAGTCATAATTAATCTTATGTTTCACCTTTGCAAAATGTATGTGAACAAATTTCTTTCAGTAAATTTTCCTGTGAAAATGCCTGTGAACTACCATACTTCGTAATTCTTGAAGACCACGTTTTAAAGATGCAGAGAAAGACTAAAAAAGGGCCTATGACTGAGCCTGAGGCGCCCTAAAAATTACAGGCTGAGTAGAAGTCAAGGTACAAAGGAGACTGAGAATTTGTGGCCAAATATCTAAGATGATTGGAGAGTATGATTTCATGAAATCCAAGAAAAGAGTAATTCAGGACAGTGGATAAAGTATGTGGAATGTTACAGAGAGGTCAAGTAAGATGAGAACTGACAACAGTGCATAAGATTTATCAGTGTAAAGCTCGTTGGAGATCCCAGCAAGTGCCATTTCCTTTCCTTTCCTTTCCTTTCGTTCTCCTCCCTCCCTTTCTCCCTCCCTCCCTTTCTCCCTCCCTCTCTCTCCCTCTCTCTCCCTCTCTCCCTCTCTCCCTCTCTCCCCCTCTCTCCCTCCCTCCCTCTCCCTCAGAATAGGTTATAGAGTGCATGGAAAATGAAGAAATAAACATAGTGTGTGTAGATCAACAAAGAGTTATAGTTAATAAGCCTCCAAAGGAAATAAGATGAAATCTAAAAGTACTCAATCTAAAAGAAGATAGAAAAAGATGAAAAAGGGAACAAAGAACAGATAGCAAATAAAAAACAAATAGCAACATGATAAACCTAACTATATCAATGATTATACCACAATCAATGCTCAATGCATCCCAATTAGAAGGCAGATTGTCAGATTGGTTTAAAAAGCAAGATCCAGCTATAAGTTGTCTCCAAGAAACACATTTTGAATAGAATGACAAAATAAGATAAAAATAAATGGAAGGAGATATACAGTGCTAACTCTAGTGAAGAGAAGGCTTGAATTGGTACATTAACATTAAAGTAGATTTCAAAGTTGATGACATTATCAGGAGTAAAAGAATAATCATTTTTTTCCTAATGATAAAGACAAACCTCAACATTTACACACATAATAATAGAGCTTCAAAATACATTAAGTAAAACTAATAGAAGTATAAGGACCAATAGACAAATTCCATTATAGTTGGAGATGTTAATTCTCTCAATAATGGATAGAAATGAGCAAGGATATAGCTGACTATGACACTAATAGCAACGCTATTAACCAACTTGACCTAATAGCAACGCTATTAACCAACTTGACATTTATAGACCATTATACTCAACAACAGCTAACTACACTTTTTTTCAACTTCACAGAGAACGTTTAACAAAATAAACTATATTCTGGGCCATAAAAGAAGTCTCAATAAATTTAAAAGAAATGGTCATATAAAGTGTGCTATTTGATCAAAATGGAATTAAATTAGAAATCAATAAAGGAAAGATCTGTAAAATCTCCAAGCATTTGTTGAATAAATAACATACTTTAAAATAACCCATTGGTCAAAGAAATAAAAAAGGGAAAATAGTATGGAAACAACATATCAAATTTGTGCAATGCTATTAAAGCAGTACTTAAAGGGAAATTGATAGCTAGGTAAATGCCTATATTAGAAAAGAAGAAATATCATAAATCAATGAACACAGCTGCTTCTTTAAGAATCTATTGTAAAAAGTAAAAGCAAATTGAACTCAGCAGGAGCAAGAAAATAAACTTTAGAGTGGGAATCATTGAAATGGAAAATAACAGAAAAATCAATGGCACCTAAAGCTCTTTTTGGGGGAATATCAGTACAATTGATAAACCTCTAGCCAGACAGATCAGGAGAAAAGGGACCAGACGACTTACCAATATTAAGAAGGAGCTGTAACATCACTACATGTTCTACAAACATTAAAGGATAATAAGGGAATGTTATGAACAACTTAATGTCAATCAATATGACAACTTAGATTAAATGGACATATCTAAGACACAAACTACAAAAAGCTACCTCAAGAAGAAATAAGTAACATGAATAGCCCAATACCTATTAAAGAATTTGAATTTGTAGAAAAAGCTTACCCACAAAGAAAACTACAGGCCCAGGTGGTTTTATGGTGAATTATAACAAACATTTAAGGAAAAAATAATACCAATTCTGCACAGATGTTCAAAAAATTGACGATAAGGTAATAATTCACAACTCATTCTATGAAGCTGTCATTACCCTGATAGCAAAACAAATCAAAGACATTACAGGAAGATGACAGACCAATATTCCTAATGAGCATAAATCCAAGAATTCTAAACAAATTTTAGCAAGTCAGGTATAACAATATGTAAGAAGATTAAAGTATCATTATCAAATGGTGTTTTTCCCAAAAATGCAAGGTTGTCTTAATATTTGAATATCAGTTAATGTAATTTGCCATAAAAACTAAAGTGACAAACGGTATGATCATTTCAATGCATGCAGAAAAAACTTGACGAAATCCAGTATCCATGATAAAAACTCAGCAATCTAGGAATAGAAGAGAACATACTCAACCCAGATGAGGGATGTGCGGAAAAGCGTAAACTCTGCAGGCCTCGGTTTTTCAGACCCTGCACATTCTCAAAGAAGACCTGTTTCCATGACTGTTCTTTGCCCGGCTCCAGGGACCTGAGCTCTTGGAATGGTTTGTCTGATGAGTGTATTTGCGTGCCTGAGACCTTGAGCCATGCTCTACCAGTTTGTCCAGGTTATTCTAACTGTGTGCTTTATGGTGAATACCTGTTTTCTCTCTGGAGGCCTGGAACTTCAGCAGCCGAAGTCAGTCCCACAGCTGCCAAATGTTCACGTGACTAACTCCCAGTAAACCCTGGACACCTAGGCTCAGGTTAGCATCCCTGGTTGGCAACACTTTGCATGAGTTGTCACACATGGTTGCTGGAAGAATTAAATGTGTTCTATGTGGCTCCACAGGGAGGGGACACTTGGAAGCTTGTTCCTGTTTTCCTCCAACTTTACCCCATGTGCTTTTTCCCTTTGTTTATTTCACTCTGTATACTTTTACTGTAATAAACTGTAATGAGTAGAACAACTTCTGTGTCCTGTGAGTCCTTCTGTAAACGTGAGGGTGGTCCTGGGGACCTCTGGCACAAGCAGCATCTACAAAACACCTATATCTAATATGAAACTTGATAGTGAAAGACTGAATACTTTCTCCCTAAGATTAGGAACAAGGAAATGATGCCCATTGTGTAACAGTGTACTTAACATTGTATTGGAGATTATATCCAGTGCATGGTATATGCGCTTGGTATATATAGAAAATCAGACGGAATGTCCAAAAATCTCCTAAACCTAACAAGTGAGTTTAATAAGGTTGCTGGATACAGGATCCATATACAAAAGTCAGTGTATCTCTATGTACTAGCAGCATTCAGTCAAAAATTGAAATTTAAAATGCAATTTTATTTACAATAGTATAGGAAATAGTTAGGGATAAATCCTGCATAAAAGATATTCAAGATCTGCACCCTAAAATCTATAAAATATTATTGAAAAAAAGTTAAAGAATACCTCAATAAGTTGAGATATACCTCATTCATGGAGTACTCAATATTGTTAAGATGCCAGTTATTTCCAGACAGGTTGCTATGCAATTCCTATAAAAACTGAAAGGGTCTATAATAGCCAAAGCAATTCTGAAAACAAAGAACAAATTTGGAGTACTAGCATTATCTGATTTAAAGATTCAGTAAGAAACTATAATAATCAAAAGAGTGTACTATTGGCATCAAGATAAGAAAATGATTATTAGGACAGAATAGAGAATCCCAAAATAGACCTACAAGCATATAGACAACTGAATTTTTATAAAGGTAAGATTCAGTGGAGAAAAAAAGTTGTTTCAACAAATGGTGCTAGAATAATTGAATATCCATAAGCCAAAAAATGAACTTCAGTACATACATTTCATCACATACTTGTATAATATGCAAATTAAAAATGGGTCATAGACCTAAATGCAGCTATAAATAGTGTAAATTTCTAGAAGAAAGCATAGGAAAATACTATAAATTTCTCAACAAAAACAGGAGAAAAATCTTTGTAACAATTGATTAGACAATGATTTCTTAGATGTGACTCCAGATCCATGATCTATAAAAGAAAAAAATTGATAAATTGGACTTCATTAAAATAAAAACTTATGCTGCTTAAAACACACTGTTAGAAGAATGAAAAGCTCAACCACAGACTGGGGAAAATTTTTGTAAACATCTGAAAAAGGAGTTGTACCCAGATGTATTACCTCTCAAAGTCTGTAAAAAGAAACACCCAATATAAAAATGAACTAAAGATTTGAACAGACACTACACCAAAGGAGACAAGTAGATAGATATACATGAAAAGATGCTCAACATCATTATTCATTAGGGAAGTGCAAATTAAAACCACAGTGGGATACCACTACACACTATTAGATTGGGTATAATTACAAAGTCTGATCACACAAAGTCTTGGTAGAACTCTCATACCCTGCAGATGGGAATGTAAATTCATGCATCACTTTTTTAAAGTTTAGCCATTTCTTAGAACATTAAGCACACACCTATCAGATGATCCAGCAATTGAACCATAGTATTTATCCAAGAGAAAAGAAAGCATATGTTTATACAAAGACTTATACATAAAAGTTATAGCGGCTTTATTTGTAATAGTAAAACCTGGAACCAGCTCAGGTATTCAACAGGTAGAGGGACAAGCTGATATATCTACACAATGGAATATTACTCAGCAGGGAAAACGAATTAACTCTTGATACACTCAATAGCATGGATGAATCTCAACATGTTCATACTGACTGAAAGAAGCCAGACAGAAAAGGGTACATATGACATGACTCCATTTCTATTAATCTTGAGAAAAAGCAAACTAACCTATAGTGACAGGAAGCACGTTAGTGACTGCCTGGCTGCCGGAGAATGGCCGTGAAGAAACTTTGGGGGTGATAGGTATGCTCATCATCTGGAATGCAGTGATGGTTTCATGAGTATACAAGTGTCAAAACTTACCAAGCTGTACACTTCAAGTATGTGCAGTTTATCATTGTCAATTATACCTCAATAAAGCTGTTTAAAAAGATACCTATCATTTTCTAATACAAAGTCTAGAAATTAAAACTGCAAACTTTTTCATGGTGTTTGGTGCTAAAGAAAAGACAGTGGTCCCAAGTGGAGACACATTCCTGACAGCATAGT